AATTTGGACTGTCTTGGGTCAGTAGGGACATCTGATCACCTTAAGCAAATGACAAAAGTCTAAAGGTAATTGTACCTGCGCTCTTCTACGTATTCCGATTATGCTCTTCTACAAAATCTAGAGGGCGCTTTTCTAGTGTGCGCATCAAGCTGCAACAACACTAAACTAAACACCTCGCTTAAACTCCATTCACAATAAGAAGATGAGTCGACGTACACTGCCAGTCAAAGGTTTTAGAACACCCGCATTTTTACAGTTATTTATTGCAGTTGAAGTCGTGCAAGTCCAATGAAGAGCTTGAAATGGTACAAAGGTAAAAACTGAACAGCCAGAGGTTAAAAAAAATGATAACAAAACACAAGTCCAAGTTCTGCCAAAACTACCTCAGGAAAAAAGAACAAGATGGTGAACTTGAAAACATGGAGTGTCCAGCACAGTGTCCAGACTTAAACCCAATCGAGCTGGTTTGGGATGAACTGGACAGAAAAGTAAAAGCCAAGCAACCTACAAGTGCCACACATTTATGGGAACTTCTGCAACAGACTTGGGAAGAACTTTCTGAAGAATATTTTATTTCTATTGTAAAAAGAACGAGCCACGAGTGTGTTCAGCTGTTGTATCTGCCAAAGGTGGACACTTTCATCAATCAAAAGTTTAGAATACGCTTTGGTCAACAGTAAAGAGTAAAAAACTGGAAAAAGTGTGGTGTTCTAAAACTTTTGACCGGTAGTGTATATTATTATGCACTCATCCATTCATAACTTATTCACAACTCTCATTTTCTTTGTGTTGTGTCTGGTTTTGGAGTAATCTAATGGCACGGAGGACATAGGGCTCAAAACTTGGATGGTCTTGGGTCAATAGGGACGTCTGGTCACCTTAAGCCAGGGGTCTCCAACCTGTAGCTCAGGACCTACCAGTAGCTCTCCACCCCCTTAAAAGTAGCTCGCCAAAGGATATCGGAATTACACCATTGTGCTGAATAACAAAAAAATATGTAATTACTTGCCGTGTACTGGAAATGTATAATTTTGAAGTCCAAGTTTGTGCACTAATAAATGGACAATGGTTTATGTTTATGGGCATCTAACTGTACCCAAAGGCTCGCCCTCTTTCTTTTAATCTTCTCAGTTTCTTGTGGCTGTTAAAATGAGTAGTTCTCTGGCATTTTTGTTTTGTAAAGGTAGTTCACCTGAGGAAAAAGGTTGGAGACCTCTGCCTTAAGCAAATGGCAAAAGACTAAAAGTAGACAACCAAGAATTCCGATTACACTCTTTTACGAAACCTAGAAGGCGCTATTCTAGTGTTCTCATCAAGCTGCAAGGACCGTAGACTAAACACCACGCTAAACTCCATTCACAATAAAAAGATGAGTCGACGTCGCTTTAATATTGACTCCTTCACCGTGAAAAGGATCGAAAACTGTGACCAAACAAGCAGAAAAGTAAAGAAAATTCAAGTTTACATGAATTACAGACTGACTACAGTGAAATATGACAAAGCATTATTTTTGCAGCTTCCATTAGCAGTGAGTATTTTAAATCACATTTTTAACGTTACAATCAAATTATTTAACATTTGCATGAAATAAATCTTGATGTATAAAACAGAAGCTTCCAAATTATGAATTAAATTAAGTTACGGACATTGATTCTTCAGTCCTTAGCTATACAGAACAGAACAGATAGAATATTAAAAGAATATTAAACAAGACAGCTAGACAAATTGAAATGAAAAGGGGAGGTTACAGACTTTTGATCTAAATGTGTCATACCTGCTTTTTAAAAACAGAACTTTCAACTGTTTGCAGTGGTTCAAAGTTCTTTGTCACTTACCTTACGCATTCTGAGCGTTGGTTATTCACCGTGATGAGTTCATATGTTCTTTTCATTAGTCTCGGGGTTTATACTGGAGTTTTGCCATGACAGTAAATCCAACAACAGCTAGCATGCTAACACACACTTTCTGATTATCGGACAATAAAATGCTTGATAATTAGACGCAAAAACAAATATTTTACTAATATATGGCTACCTAGAACCCATTTGTGGACTACATGAAAACATTCTCTTTTAATGTCGCTATGTCTGTAAAACTTTTTTTTCTCTGGGGGCCCCATTATCCTGACTGTGATGGCTTCTGCTGTTGGTTCGACAGAATTGTATGACCCTGAAAATGCAGATTATATTCTTTTGAAAACTGTCACACTTTCTTTACATATCAGACAAACTGCACGGTCCTTACATTGAACAAAAAAATAATTAGTCATCCACTGTTCTTTGAAAACTCTGCACTCTCTGACAAGTTTTCATATTTTAACACCCGCCATTTTGCTGTCCTTAACTGCACGTGTGTATTGACTGTCACTGCTTGATCCTGAGTTTGTCAGGTGACGAAAATTCTGCGGCAAATGTAAATATGTCATATAATTATTTAAATATAAATCAATCTAAATTTTTTATTTATTTTTTTTAAATGTACAAAATACAAGATGCAGACATGCTATTATTTGCCAAAAAGTCATAAAAAAATAGGCCACAGCAAGTTTTGAAGATGATCTCATAGGGCCAGTTTAAGTGGTGGGGGGCAGAGGGGCTGGGGGGCCGGTCGAAGGGGCGTGGCAGGCTGGATTCGGCCCTTGGGCCTTAGTTTGATGACCCCTGATCTACAATGTTCTTTTATACAAACAAATGTCCTTGTATACGACCTATTACCTATGCAAAACTAGGAAATAAAGTTTAAAAAAAGACAGATATGGCTTAAATACATGAGAAAGTTCATGTACTAGGCCTTTAAATGCTTTTTTTTTTCTCACTCAGTCCTATTGTAGCCTCACATGTAAATATTGGCAAACCGTTAGGTAACCGTTAGCAGTCACAAACCCGAATTGCGCTCCATCTGTTTCGCTTTAAACCACAGCTTTGTATCGGCAAACGTGGACACCTCTGCCTTCTGCCGCTCTATCCTCCGACATTACCCCCAAACGTGCCTCCTGCTCCGTGATAAACGCACAAACACACACGTCCTTGGGTTTTACGCCTTGTGTGTTTTGGAGGAGCAGACGTGGCGGCGGGGGTAAAAAATGTCACGCCAAGTCTGTTTGGATTTCAAGGCTGCGTCTGGTGCCCGCCGCCTCTGTGCCAATTAGCAATCCTCGGCATTAGCAACAAGAGAGAGACATCAGTTATGGGTTTGGGGAAGTCGTAATGGGGCGGCAGAGTGGTTAGCCTCCTGAAAATCAGCGTGGAGGTGCAGGGAAAGCCTACATAGCTTTTCTGGTGGAGGCTCCGTCAAATGCTTTTGTTCTTGATGTTGTTTCTTTGTCTTGAATGTTTCACAGTATGGCATTAAGTCTTTCTGTTTTCATGGAGACCAAACCAGACCAAGTTACAGGTCAGATCTGTGGAGAGGTGACCCCGCTCACAGTCAGAATGTTGTTTTTTTTAGGTATTTTTGAGCTATAAAACCAGCTGTAATTGAATAAATGTAAAGTAGAGCTGTTTAATGTCATACTGTGGAACATTCCAAGAAAAGCAATGACATCTCCATAGAAACAAGCAAGTGACGGACCATAAACAAAAAGTTACATAGTGCACCTTTACGGCTTAAGTCTCTAGAATCATTTACTAGTTATCCTGACTTTTTTATATGATTAAAAGTCTGTTCATTTAATTGTGCTTAAGTGTCTATAATGTTAAGATAAAGACTGAAAATCTTGAGACTTATTTCAAACTAAAATTACAACTTTAATGTATTATGGTATGGAATATGTTATGTTCAAACTGTGGCATCAAAATCGCGGCAAACGTCTCTGATTGGACGCATTTGCATTTGAAGACAGATGCTCGAAACTCTTTGACAAATCTGACGTGCGTCGCAGATAAACCTGATACCCTGACACAAATCTGAACTGAATGCAGCATTATAGCATCACATAAAAAATAAATACTACAACATTTTTACAGGAATTTTCATAGAATTTTCAAATAGCCTTGCCCAAAATTGCCCAAACATATGGAGATTTGAAAATGTTTGTAGTGCTAAGTCATTAACTTGGCGTTCAATCAAGATTATGTATTTACCAGAATCAGAATGTTTCATGCTCTTTTGTTGAATTTTTTGTTATGTTTTGGCTAATGCATTCCTATGAACCAAACAAGGCCAAGTTACAGGTCAGATCTGTGGAGAGGCGACCCCGCTCACAGTCAGATTGTTGTTTTTCTAAGTATTTTTGAGCTATAAAACCACCTGTAACAACATGACAGATTTGGCCACGTTAGATCCCAAGCTCTGTTGTGTACTGCAGTTTCAGAATAATCTCATTTGATAACTTCTGGAGATTTCATATTTTACTGAATTGCAGTAGAAGATGAAGTACACAATTTTGTTATTTAAGTAAAAATATAGGTAAAGGGGCAAAACGTTTCTCAAGTAAAAGTATCACATGAAAAAATCTACTTAAGAAGAAGTATTAACGTACCTGTTTAACAATGTACTTTAAGAATAAAAAGTTAAAGATTAGATAAAGTTAAAGAGACTTTTTGAACAATTAAGGAATGAAATGTAGTTTTTGATCAAGAATTTAGCAAATTTTAAGTGATTCCTTTGATTTCCTAATTTTTTTTGACATTTTTGTGTTTTTGGTTTGCTCAAAGTTGGGCCGGAAACTCAAATAAAATGTGCCACTTCAAAGTACTTTTTACTTTTAAGTCCAGATTTAAAATGTAGTGGAGTAAAAGGTACAGATAGATGTTTGTACTTGAGTATTGTACTTTTACTTTTATACTTCGTTAACGTGTCATAAATTGTAATATCTGATTTCTTTCTTGTTCCTTATGTTCCGTGTATGTCACTACACCTCAGACGCCCTTTTCTCACACCACCCGTTCCGCTGCATGTGACCAGTGCCCCCCTTAACTCCGCCTCCTAACTCCGCCCCTCTAAACCCCGCCTCCCACTGCCCCCGGTGTTCACTGCCCTCTCCTCCTCCCCCCCTCCAGGCTCCTCGTGCCAGATGAGAACCCTGGACAGCGGCATCGGCACCTTCCCCCTGCCCAAGTCGGAGTCCTGCGGTCCCGTGGCGGCGGCGGCAGCGGCGATGACCTCTGACCCCGCCTCCTCCACCTCCGCCTCGTCATCTTCGCGGACCGATGACGTCGCGGCGAACACGGCCCCGCCCCCGTCCCGCCTAGGCCACTCCCTCTCCGACCCCGCCGTGACCAGGAGCAGCGTTCAGAGCCGACTGCCCAAGCTCTCCACCTCAGGTAAAGACAACTCAGCTTTTTGTGCTCATACTCTTTGTAATTATTATATTAAAGTGTGCATTTTTTATTAATTTGATGGATAATACTTGTTGTAAATATAAATTATAGTTGTACACAAATCAAGAAGCAGTTTGTAAAAAGAAAAGAAAGAAAGAAAAGAAAACATGGAAAAATATGTTGAAAATTGTTGAAAAGAGTCCTATTCTATATAAAAGTTCTCCATAATTTACATGTAAGAAACATATTTTTTCTAATGGATTAAAGATAATTTCAACAAAATAAATATCGCTGGGTATCATTAAGAAGTTGCCGATACGATACATATCTCCATACATTAGCCACAATACGATACATATCTCCACAGAAGTGGGACCAAGTCATTGTTTTTGCAAGTCTCAATTAAGTCTCAAGTCTCTGACCTCAAGTCCGAGTCAAGTCCCAAGTCAAATACAGCCAAGTCCAAGTCGAGTCTTGAGTCACTGGCCAATAAGTCAAAGTCAAGTCCAAGTCGTCTGCTTTGAACTTCAAGTCTTTTCAAGTCTTTAAAACCAAAGTATCAGATATAGGTTAGAGTTTTGCAATTTATATGAGTTTTAAGATAAATTGTACTTAAAAAATCTAAGTAGATTTATATATGAGTATTTATCAAAGTATATAAGAGTTGTAGAAATGTACATTTTTCCTTGTTAAATGTCTTCACAAGATCTTAGTTTGAATAATTACAGTCAGAATTCAGAACAGAAAGAATTCAGATTTAAAAGTGCTTTTCAAGTCTTCTCAAGTCCAAGTCAAGTCCCAAGTCTTAGTCCATTTTATCAAGTCAAGTCTCAAGTCCTAAAAATAGTGACTCAAGTCTGACTCGAGTCCAAGTCCCGACTTGCAAGTCCCCACCTCTGTATCTTGATACAGTGAGATTTTGATTCAATATGATTCAATACGATATATTTTAAAATGATTCGATAACGGTTCAATAAAAAAGGATGGCAGTGATACTAAAAGTCTTTGTTAAATCACTTCTTGTGCAAAGTTCATGAAACACGCCTATTTTAATCATCAAAACAGTGAAAATGTCAAATGCATAAATGAGTTTTCTTCCACTAAACTGTAGCTCTGTAACAAAATAATTTAGTAAAATATACCAAAAAATACTGATGGTGATATATCGATACAGCAGCCCATGATACAGTTAGGGTTAGGTTGGGTTGTCTTTATTGCACTAAAATACATAGAAAAGCCTGCGTTCTTAATGTGAATAGGCTTGCATCTCCACAAACCTGACTCTTATTTACTCTTTTATATTTGGCCTGTAGGTGGCCTTTCTTGTTGTTCTGCTTGTTTCCATGGAAATGCTGTTCCTTTGGCTAAAATATCCCACAGTATGACGTAAAACACATCAACCTCCGCGGAGAACCTTCTGAAGTGTTGTTTTAACTTTCTATTTCCATTGAACGGCGAGCCACCTCTGAAACCAGCTTTGTTCTTGTGTGTAAACTTCCCCCATTGAGTATTTTGTGAGAGCAGCATTTGTATTTTCTTCTTTCTTCACCAGCTGTTTGCAAATCCAAGCCTTCACAAACACAACTTAACCAGCCTGCAGTCTTAAAACCCTGTTATCGCCAAACAGAAGAAGTGTCCTCGCATTCCCAAAGCCACTCAATACACCGCAGTACTTCAATTACAAGTCTATTCCACGCCGCGCTTTAGGTTTCTCTCTCCCAGTATCAAATACATTATACATTATTAATATTTCCCCTATATTAAGTGCATCGCCGGCCTGTTTACGTCTCGATAACGCTCCGTATCTTTACTTTTCTATCGCTGGTCCAGATTCATGCGAGCGTTGTTTACTTTTACACTTTTACATTTCGATATTTATCCTAATGCCCTCCACCTCTAACAATACATCATCTTCTAATAAAGGCCTGGTATGAAAACAAATGCGACGCAAGCCTGTAAAAGCTGCCTTGTTACATAGAAATGGCGGCGTGCCTGAGCCTGAAAGCTTCGGCGTGGACTGTTTTACCTTTAAGTGAAATATTGGTCTTCGGGAGCAGCACTCAGAGGCGTGCGCACTATTATGGGATGCGGGGGGAGTTATTAGCGGGCGGATTCGGAGAAATGAAGAGGCTAATTCGCAAGCTAATGCATCAAAAGTGACAGGCCGGCGGATGACGGATGGACAAGGAACGGCGCGGAAACAAGGAATGCCCCCAGGAAGGCGAGCACGGGTTTACACAGCTCCCAAGCGGCGAGGGACGGAGAACAAAGTAAGAGAAGTTCGATGGAGAAAAGTGCGTAGAAAAGTACTTTACAGGGTATTTAAGCGGAAAGGTTTGTTAGGTGTGAAGAGGAGATGGAGAGGCTGAAGAGGCTGAATGTTCTACTGCTGCGGTGAAGATGGTAGAAGTTCAAGATGTGCTTTAGTCCACAAAATATTCTTGTTTTATAGCCACAATTAGACTAAATAAAGTCTTTTTAAAAAATGTTGTTCAGCGAGTTTGCATCTGCACAAACCTGACTCTTATTTGGCATGGAGGGGGGCCTTCTCTTGCTCCTTTCCATGGAAATGTTGTTCCTCTCGCTATAATATTCAACAGTATCAGCTTGTCAAAGCCTGATCTCGCCTGAAGGCCAGGGGTGGGTAGTCCTTGGATGGGAGATGGATGCGAATACCAAGTGTCACAGTGGGGCGTCAGTGGCAAAATAAATAAATAAATAAATAAATGGTTATGTTCTTCGGCAAGACTTTTCACCCACATTGCTTAGTGAGAAGTGGTGTCCCAGGGCAGCTGTGGCTACATTAGTATCTTAGCAGTAGTGAGTGGGAAGTGAATGAATTATGCACTATAAAGAGCTTTGGGTGTCTTGAAAGGTGCTATATAAATTCAATGAATAATAAAATGTATCTGTCTACATGGAGTATGATTTAAACTTTCTGTTTCCATGGAATCATGCAGGTGAATAGCCAGACTGGCGCCACCTAGTGCCTCTGCTCAATTTCATTTCTCTCCAGTGACTAGGTCAGGAATCAAAATACAATAGATGGTTCGCAAAAACCCTAGAGTGCAAGTATGTGCAAATGCAAGTTTGGGCACCAGCCAATCAGCGAAGAGCCATACATTCAGTGTTGTCAACGATTCCCAAGATCGAGGATTTAAAGCCGGAACAAAGAGAATGTTTGTTGAATTTTATCAAGGGGAAAAACGATATTGTCCTTCTTCCTACGGGATTTTGGAAAAGCTTAATATATCAGTTAGCCCCGTTAGCGGCACATTACATACATCATGACCAAATAGCAGCGATTGGTTAAATGATGAAAAGTACCCGCCTACAGTCGAGCGAACAAAATCTAACACTGCGAGGTCAGACAGTTTCTATAAAGTGAAACCATCTGATGAATAGCAGGTGACATGCCACCTCCAGAAAATAACTTCCTTTACTTTTAACTTATCGATATCTAACTGTTAGCCTAATTTATAGAACTTTTAACATACTATAAAACTCAACAGAAGAAATGAAGTATTTTCTATTGAAAAAAATCAGTAATAACTAGTTTATTTAAAAAAAAATATATCAAATATTCTAAATCCCTCAGCAAAAACATCTTGTATTAATCTAGTATAAATCTCATATTTTAACTTAGAAAACAAAATTGAAACAGAAGTGAAAGTGAAAGGGGAGTTTTGTGATTGAAATTAAATGTATTTATTTGAAATCTGTATTAATGTCGTGTCTGGAAATGGGCGCAGACTCTTCTTTCTGCTCCTTTTCATTCACTTCTTGTGAGTTTAACGATATGACGCCGTTAATGCCTTTTTATAGTTTACAAATGAAATAAGTAAACAAATAAATAAATAAACAAAAGTGGGTCGGTTCTTGTTTTGTGGTGGTGGTGGTGGCGGCTCTGGCTCTGTCACAAATTCCCTGCTGCTGCCTGAATTTGTACACACCCTCAACCTCTCTCCTGCACACACACACACACACGCGCACACACACACACACACGCACACACACAAGGATGCACCAATTCAGCTTTTTTCAGCTCCAGTACCGATATCGATACTTTGACTTTAAGTATGAATTGTTTGTTTGTTTATTTTTTTTACAATTTTATGTTTTTTAGTTTTTTTGTATTAATTTTCTTACCTAAAAAGATACCATAAAATGCAACTTTTTTTTTTTTTTTTTTTTTTTAAATTCACGATGCAACTGCGACTCCACGCTCTATAGCTCAGCCCGCATCATCTGAAGTGCTTCTCGGCCCTTTCCCGAGAGCACCAGCCTGGCCATAAAGCTGCTTCTGCTTATGTCCACTGCCCCCTCCCTCCTATACAAGCGCACTGTGTCAGAAGCACCCTGACGTCTTAATAAAGCCACCACCACCACCACCACCACCCACTCCACTGCCCTCCCACCCGCCCCCACTCCACTGCGGAGCCAGCACTTTCACCCCTCCCCACGGTACGCGCTTGATTAGCAATGTCTCTCTCTCGCTCTGTACTTAACTTTCTCCCTGCCGTCGCCGCAGTGTAGGACGGCCACTGTTTTGTGTTTTGGCCAGAGACTCAAGTTTGTGAGGAGGATTTTAAAAGCGCAAACGCGGGAGACGCTAAAAGAAAGTAGTTTTTGTAATACGACGAATCTTAAAACGGAGGATACGAGGCGAGAATGATTTGTGCAAGTGCTGTCTTCTTCCTGCTCTTATGATCTTTTTGAGGATGTTTTATTTGAGATACGAAATGCAAAATAACTAATAATCACAATCCTTTTCACTCAAGATTGTCGTGTTTTTAAAGGGCCCATATCACGCTATTTTCTGATCTATGTTATAATGTAGTTTCCTCATCACAAACAGAACTGGAGTTGTGTTTTGTTTCATTCACACGTTTAACACACAAACTTTGCATTTTTAGACATTTCATAGTTCTTTTCTCAAACTGAAAACATTCTGTTCCACCTTGTGATGCCATGTGATATGACAGGAAGTGCTCCACTGTGTTTTTAAACTCCACATACCTTCACCAGAATCATTTGGATAATTTCAGCCCTGGAATTGCCCATTTCTACTGAAGTTACTCAAACATGTGTGAATGAAAACGACATGTAACAACATTGTAACACGACTTTAAGCTCACACAAGTCCATTTTGTTTAAATAGGACAAGTATATCTCAATATTGCATCAACAATATACAATGACAACTCTTTTTTTAATACTCAAAATTCATTCATTACATCTGTTTTCATTTTCGTGAATTTTGTTCCGTATGGGTTATTACAATTATTACAAGCCATTACGATTATGCATAGTTGTTGGTATTGGTGGTTTTATAGCACAAAAATACCTTGAAATACAACATTCTGACTGTGAGCGGGGTCGCCTCTCCACAGATCTGACCCGTAACTTAGTCTGGTTTGGCCTCCATGAATATAAAAAGGTTTAATTACCATACTGTGAAACATTCCAGACAAAGCAATAACTAACAATCTCCACCAGAAATGCATTTGATGGACCTTCCAGCAGAAAAGTTACACAATGCAGAGATTTTGGTTTCACATACACGTATAATATTGACTAGAATCCTTTTATCCCTTTCCTTGGTTGAATGACAGAACATGTATCTGTCCTTCTGGCTCCTCACTTCCTGTCTTGTTTTCACAGATGCAATCAGAACCAAGAGGTCGAGCCTGTGCACCAATCACGGCTCAGCTCCCCCCGACGAGAAGAAAGAAGAGGAGAGGAGGGGCCGGACCAGGGAGCAAGACACACCCGGGGTACCAATCTTACATATGTATTAGACCTGTGTTACTTATATATAGCATGGGGGAAGTATACAGGGAGATGTGTGTTGGAAGGTCTGTGGCAAATTGGATCCTTCAAGTGGAGATGGGGTTTCAAAATGGCATTATGGAACTCCAGAGGTCAACTATATACATTTTAAAGGGCCCGTATTGCGCTATTTTCTGATCTGTGTTATTATAATGTTGTTTCCTCATCAAAAAACAGACCTGGAGTTGTGTTTTGTGTCACTTTTTCTGGTGGAGCATCCATCAAAAGCTTTTCTCCATGAAGATGTCACTGTCTTTGTCTAGAATGTTTCACAGTATGGCGTTAAACCTTTCTATCGTCATGGAGACCAAACCAGACCAAGTTACAGCCCTCACAGTCAGAATACTTGTTTTTCTAGGTATTTTTGAGCTCTAAAACCAATTTGACGGACCATCCACCAGAAAACATGCACAGTGCAGCTTTAATTCTCAACGTGAAAAGATAGCCCCATGAGACATGTCAGACAATGCCTACACCGCCAGCTCGCCTGCATTAGATAGTAGTTTCCATGTATGTTGATAGTGCGGTGTAATAGTCTTTGTGTGTGTGTGTGTGTGTGTGTGTGCAGGAGAGAGCCTTGAGGGTGTGCACGTACTCCGGCAGCAGCAGTGAGACTGAGACTGAGCCAGAGCCACCACCACCACGGAGCAAGACTGGATCAGGTTAGACAACTCCCCCAACGCTTTCTCTTCTGTCTGAAGTACAGTCTGTCAACACAGATTAACCATCATACATATTTATGTGATGAAAACAATGAAAAATAGTCCAATTGTGGCCATACCTCCTTGTCAAAGACTGATCTAATCAACTCTTAGCAGCTAAGCACAACTGGGCCTGGTTAGTACTTGGATGGGAAACCTTTGGGAATTCCAGGTGCCACAGTGGGGAGCCAGTGGTAAAAACTGTTGTCGTGTCCTTAGGCAAGATACTTCACTCACATTGCTTAGTATGAAAGTGGTGTGTATGAGAGTGATGGTGGTGATCGGAGGGAGTGATGGCGCAGATCGGCAGCCGCACTTCCGTCAGTCTGTCCCAGGGCAGCTGTGGCTACAATAACACCACTACTGCTGAGTAAGGAGTGAAAGAATAAAGCTCTGTAAAATGTCCTTTGAGTTTTCAAAAAGCACTATATAAAAGTAAGTAAGTATGTTTTTATTTATATAACGCTTTTCACAGACATATGTCACAAAAACGCTTTACTATTGTAGCCACAGCTGCTCTGGGGCAGACTGACTGAAGCACGGCTGCCAATCTGTACCTTCAGCCCCTCTGACCACCACGATTACTCCCGCACACACCACTTTCATACTAGGCAATGTGGGTGAAGTGCCTTGCCTAAGTACACAACGACTGGGCCCCCTGTGGCACCTGATTTTCCCAGTGGTTTCCTATCCAAGTACTAACCAGACCTGTCCCTGCTTAGGATCTGAGCTCTGACGTCATCAGACTTTGACAAGCTGGTGTGGCCACAAACTGATCTATTGTTATTATTAATATTGATTTTATTTTCATTTCTATAATAATAATAATGCAGTAGTCTTATATACTGTTTTTCCACATGCTCAAAATTGCTTTACTCATTCACTATTCATTATTCATTCATAACCATATTCATACTATCCAATTTGGGTTAAGTGTATTGCCTAAGGATACAACAACAGTTTTGTCACTAGCGCCCCACTGTGGGACTTGAAATCCCAGGCGGTCTCCCATGCAAGTGCTAACATCAGAATAGCTCAATTTATGCAGTTATGCAAAGTTAGAATATCAAATACAGTATCTTGTAAAAAGAAAAGTTCTGATCGAAAGAAAAAGTGCTGAAACTTATAATGCAGTCTTTCAAGAGTATAAACGAGTCATATTTCGTTTTAGACTTGAGCAATACTTGAACTTGCACCAAGATATTACAGACACATTTTCAAAGGATCGCCATAATTGTTGTAGAAGTTTTACGAGTAGTCCAAAGAATATAGATGAAAAGGAAGGAGACAGTCTGGATGCTTTTTGCAGAAGAAGTTTATTACAAATCACAGTGGCCCTGGAGACTTTCAACACAGCACTGTCACCACAGACTGTATAAAGAAGTGACTAAGGGAATGTGACGTCAACTATAGCGCTCGGCTCCAGTCAAATGAAGCTCATCGAAGCCACAGTTATAGGAGTAAATTTGTTAATCTGACCAGCCAGAACCACACGCTTTGACAAAACTTTACAAAACGAGCGGATCCAGCGTTGTGTACTGTAACTGCTATGACTTAACTTGGGTAAAAGAAGTTATATCTTTAGTTCTGAATGCTGCGAGAATTTTCAAGACGAGATATCTTCCGCATTTTCCCACATCTTCCGAGAAACACGTGATACAAACTAGTGTCTAGTTGGATCGTCTCAAGTTTGGACGGAGAATTTTCATGCTCTATTGTTCGATTTTAAACATTTTGAGATTCAGACAATTTAAAAGTATCAGGAATAGGAATTTATTTACGTACAAAATAGCGAAATAAAACAGCAGGATCACGTAGAGCGGGTTAATAGGAACACTTTAAGGCCAAAATAATGAGGCTCACAGCAGCAGTTACAGAGAAAAGGATGACAATATTCCAATGTAAGTCAATTGGAAAAAGAGTCAGTGGAGCCGGAAGCACCCCCATGCTCACTTCCTGTTTGGAACTTGACAGTTAGAGGGTTAGCTATGTCCATTTATATACAGTCTACGGTTATCAGACAAGGTATTGCCTATCCAAGCCCTGGTAATACTTTTACTTGAGGAGTTTAAGTTGCCTCTGTAGTGCGTCATAGCGAAGGACATTCTGAAGGGCTGTGTGTGTTCTAGCTTGACAATATATGCCTATAATTTTGTTATTTTCCAGCAGTAATAATATGAAATTATTGCTACTTGATATTCACCCAAAATATTTACGTATATCTGTATTTTTTTTCATCTTTTTTTTTTTTACTTTGTGCTTAAAGTTGTGTAGTGTTTCTACTGGAAGGTCTGTCAAATTATTTTCTCCATTCAGATGTTATTGCTTTGTCTAGAATGTTTCACAGTATGGCATTAAAGATTTCTATGTCAGTGGAGACCAAACCAAAGTAAACAAAGTTATAGGTCAGATTTGTGGAGAGGCGACCCCACTCTCAGTCAGAATGTTGTTTTCTGAGGTATTTTTGAGCTATAAAACCACCTGTAATTGAATAAATGTAAAGTAGAGTTGTTTAATGTCACACTGTGGAACATTCCAGGTAAAGAAATTACAAGCAGGTGATGGACCCCAATCAAAACGTTACGCAGTGCACTTTTAACTGTTGTTTTTTTTTGGCCTCCACAGCGGACCAGAGCGATCAGACCCTGAAGAGGTGCAGCGTGGGTAAAGGCCTGTCAATCATGGACTACTACCATGAGGAGGTCTACCCCTGCCTGGAGGAGGGCAAGAGGCTGTCCCGCTACAGCCTGCTGCACCAGGAGGGGGCGCTGGACGGAAAACCAGCAGATGGGCTCACTGTAAGTTCAAGTTTTTGGTGTAACATCTCAACAGAGCTCTGAAATACACAAGTTTCTACACATTTTGGATATCTTAATGTGGAGATGACAAGGATTTATACTCGATAACAACGTACAATCTCCGTGTTTAAATATTTTTGGTATTTATATGTAAAAAGGCATATTAAAATCACACATTTTTTCATCTACCTTTATATCGACGCATTGTTTCCTAGTACTTAAATACTCATAGTAGTTTTTGCATGAGCTCCCCCTGCAGGTGTAGTCTTGTGAGTGCAGTGTGGGTCAGATACACAGAGATACGTGATAGTTTTGAGAGATTTTGCCACACCTCCTTTTTAGTCGCTCAATTATATAAGGAACTCTAGAGGTCAATGAAAGTCTGCTGTGTGCTGCCTGCCTGTAATTATAGAGCAGTTTAATGTCCGATAATCAGGAAGTGTGTTGTTAGAATGCTAGTTGTTGTCAGCATAACCATGATGTCAAAATTTATAAACTCATAGAAGGTGAGGCATAACACTGGACCACTGCAAACTGTTGAAAATGAACTAGTTCTGTTTTTCACGTTTTTAGACAGTAAAAATCATGTACAGCTCCTTAAAGAGATTATTTTTTCTGATTTAACCCTTTAACGAGTGTCACAAATATGCAACAAACCGTTTGGATCAAGATATAAGCCGAGATAGTGGCTGCATTCCCCCTGTACCTTCCTAGGAACTTTTGGCAAACACTTGTTTCTAGTTGTCGCAAATTTGCAACATACCCAGATTTCTATTTTATTTTATTTTATTTTTTTGCTATACTTAATTTAATCATCTCAACTTAATTTACCATCTACTTAAAAGCAAAAACACTCACAAAACATTTTTTTTATATACATCTACTAAAGTCGTTAAGGGGTTAAAGTGTGTATGTCAAATTTTTATTATTTTCATTTTGACTTAATTTGGTAGGATTGTAACTACTGTAAATAGAAATTATAGTTTTACACAAATCAAGAAGCAATTTGTGAAGAAAAGTTTAAAAATGTGTTGAAACGTACAGGAAGTAGAGAGTTCTTAACACACTTATGACGTCACACTGGGAGAATTTTATACAAAAATTTGGCACAATTTAAACTTAATAAGCAAATTTTTTTGATACTGTACACATGATTTCAACAACATGATTTTTGTGTTTGCCATAATAATAATTTATGCATACATTTAGAGAAGTTTTGCAAAGTAATAGTTATCGAATTCCCTAGTGTGATCACAATGAAGTCACAATTTCCAACTAGAAAGTGAAATTTAAAGCTGCACTATGTAACTTTTTGGTTCAGGGTCCGTCACCTGCTTGTTTCTATGGTCATTGCTCTGTCTGGAATGTTCCACAGTATGACAGTAAACAGCTCTACTTTACATTTATTCAATTACAGGTGGTTTTATTGCGTACAAATACCTAGAAAAACAACATTCTGACTGAGCGTGGTCGCCTCTCCACAGATCTGACCTGTAGCATTTGACGGACCTTCCAGCAGAAAAGTTACACAATGCACCTTTAAACCTAAAAAAACGTACAAATTGGGGAAAACAAGTGTGGACGTTTTTGCTTGCTCAACTGCGTTTTAGTGAAACGAGTAGTCTAACCTGTCATAGGCGCCTTAATATATTTATTTCTCTCGTATAAATTATAGATCTGGCGGTGTGCTTGTTTATGGGGGTGACCAGGCTGGACTTGGTTGGCCATTTCACGGTGACTGCTCCTCATTTGTCATTCAGCGCGTTTAAATACTCGTAGGCAAATTCCCGCTGACACCAGAGGGCAACCCGATCGAACGCAATTAAGCTCCTTTCTCTATATCAAAATCCACAAACAATTCCGAGGAGAAAAACATTGACTTTGGGGATGAAGTTGGAGTGCCGCTGTGAGACGGCCCGATTCTTCTGATTCTGCCAGATTTTTTTCAGCAAAATCAAAATTCAATATATTCCGCGCCACGCTTCTGCTGCTGGGGAGGTGATTATGCAAAAGGGCCTGACAGTGGCTGTGTCTTCGAGATGGAAAACAGTCAATAGTTTTACATGTGGAGGACAGAGGGAGCTTGATTAAGATGTCGTGGGTGAGGAATACAGCTTGTTGGTGGTAGATAGTGAGCTCCTGAGGGACGCCGCGCTGTGATTGGTCATTCAAAGTGATGAAGTTTGCGGGTAACATTATTATTCAGATTAGAAAACAGGTTAGGTCAGTTAAATCACGTATCATGCTGTTTTTGGATCTATGCTGTATGTTCTGTAATGTAGATTCCTCATCACAGTTGTGTTTTGATTTCATTCACACAAACTCTGCAGTAGTAGTAGAGTTCTTCTCACAACACTCTGTTCTACCTTGCGATGTCAAGTGCTCCACTGTGTTTTTAAACTCCATACACCTTCACTAGAATCATTTGGATTATTTTGGATCATATATACCAAGAGTGTCAAACTCAAATTCACAGAGGGCCAAAAATTAAAAAACTGCGACTAAGTTGTGGGCCAAACTAAATATTTATTGAAATTTTTCAACAACATCTGCATGTTTTATCTTCTTTCGAGATATGTAATGTTAAAACTTTTCTTATTAAAATAAATGTTTAATAATAGTTTTGCTTAAACATTGAATCCAGAACAAACATAATATAAAATAATGACAAAATTTTAAATAAATAATGCCCCTATAGTCTATCTGTAGCCGGCGGGCCAGCTTTAATACACATTTGATATGATCTCGCAGGTCAGGTATATATTACAGGCCAAATTTGGCCCCCAGGCCTGAGTTTGACATATCTGACATAGACAAACTAATAATAAAGGGTTACTCAAACATGTGTGAATGAAACTAAACACAACTCCAGGTCTGTTTTTGACAAGGTAACAACATTATAAGTTGACTTAAAGCTCAATTTAGAGTCAATTTAGTATAATATAGGAACTTTAAAGAGGAAGAATTATGCAAAATCAACTTTTTGGAGCTTTCTACCATGTTACAACTTTGTTCCCTCATCAAAAATATGCCTGAAGAGGTTTCAGATCCATCCATGCATGTTTTAGTAACCTAGCGATCTCTCTCAGGCCCTATTCAAACCCTCCTTACGGTTAGCTGTACGATTATGTGCGACACTCCGCCCACAAGCCTACATCACCCATGCCCTGACATGACAATTCTCCATAATAAACAGTACACTACAACTTCACAAACCTGATGGTATGTGCAGTAGTTTCATTAGTGAGATGCATGCTGACTGTAATGTGTTAATACTCTGAAGGGGGGTGGGCCAGGGTAGAGGTAGCGTCAAAAACAAAGCTTAAAGCTTAAAGCTTTGTCATAATTTGGAACATTCATATCCGACATATTCATAGAAACAAGCAGATGACGGACCCCTAACCGAAAAAGTTACACAGTGAACCCCCTCATATGATTCAGATGAAGGCACAATAAAATAAGTAATTGCATGCATGTCTGATATAAGTCCTAAAGTACAGTTGAGAATAAAGTCATATTGTATAGCTGGCGTTTGACCCAGTGCTCTTTTCTGACAGTGAGCAGCTCTGCCCTTCACCACAATCCCTTTAAGCACTGTGATCATTTTTCCATGACCTTCCTGAAATCGAATCTGACCAAAAGAGAATTTCAATCACGTCTTGTATGGGACTGGGGACTGGGGACTGGCCAATCAATGTCCACTGTTGCTCCTGGACCACAAGTAAGTCCAGTTTTCTTCAGGTATGCTCTTGTTTTCTCATATATCTATGACTCTATGACTCAGAATGCAGCTCTGTCCTGGTCACGCTCCATGTTTCTAAAGATGGATAATGCTGCTGGAATATTAAGTGGAATGGCTAGTGTCTTTCTTAAAGGAACTGTATGTAAGGTATGATTTTAATTTCCATAAACATGACCTAACTCTTTTGCTATAGATTTAAGGTAAACATGTTCAAATCAAATATAGCTTTTAGTGATAACTCTTGTAATGCTGATATATTCTTAGGGTGCACTCACACGAGCCCAGTCAACCTGTGCCCAAGCACGGATAGCCCCTAAAGCTTTGGTATGTTTGTCCAGTATGAGCAGGCATGGCACAGTTCAAACTTTGGCTCAGTTGGAGGACGGCAGGGTTGCTCCTGTACGCGCACACCCACCACTTTACTATATAATCCCTGTGTGTGCGCTGATGCTCTGCTCGAAAACACGCTGAATCTGTGTTTACTTTCAATGAGGACAGTGACAGAGACAGAGACAGACGTTTTGCAGCCTCTCTCCTCACTCATCCACGCTGTTGTTATAAACTCACAGAGAAGCGTGTATCACAGCAGGACTCACATCTGCCTCACCGTTTAATAAATATTTCATGTCGCTGGACGTGGCTCTGCTTGTGCAGGTGTAAGTGCGCGACATAGAACCCACACCAATCATGTCTAAGCACAGCATGCTTCAAAGTCTAAGTGAGTGTGAGTGCGCCCTAAATTACAGAAGCACTGGGTGATGGCCAAGCTGTTTATGTTACAATTTGGTGCTTTATTTCAAGATGAGGATCTAATCAGAAAGCAGAAAGAGCCTCACATGAGACTCTCATTTGGGTTCAATCCCAATCCAATGCTGAAATCTAGTCCAACCTAAAAGGACGCTCCCTTTCCCTGAGAATGCAGGGTACATACAGCTCCTTTAAATAATGAAATAAATATTTGTAATATCATTTTCAGTATATATTTTCTATTGAAAAGATGCTGAAATAATGAAACAAAACTGTATTGAAAATGTAATAATTTTTGCATTATCCAAAACAAACAGCAAGTACATAAATCCCACCAATTTCACCAAGTGTATGAAATAGTAAACAAAAGTGGACTTACTTAATTTGGAAGTAGTTTAGTAGTTTTTATTTTTGACTATTTCTCAGTAAAATAATGTAGAATAAAATATGATGCCAATATTAAATTCAAAGTTTAAACGTCTCTAGTTTTAGTCACACAGGATAGATTCAA